TCTTTGAGGAATGTTTGGGATCATTATCCTGCATCAATCTTTGAGATGGATTTAAATGCTGGGTATAAGGAATCAGTCCATTTTCCAAAACTTCAATAAAGCCAGCTGAATTCATTTTTTCTTCAAACAGCACAATTGGCGTCTTTCCTTGGCAACTTATACCTGCCCATGCATGTACCTTATAGGGGTGTTTTGCTCTATATAATAGGTTTTAAAAAAATACCATTAACGTACATGTAATATTAATTTAGTGCTACCTTGGTTTTGGTTTCGAGGGCACCTATTTTCCTTCATGAAAATCTCCTGTGGGATTCGAATTCAATTGTACACTCATCACTGTACAGTACATCAGAAAAACCAGTAGTCCTGTGCTCCTGCAACTGATCTTGAGCCAATTTCATTCGCTTCTCTTTATTTGGTCCTCTAATGATCTGGCAGTATGCACTGCCACGGTATGTCCAACCAAGTGTATTGCGAGACTTCAATATTGTTTTCAGTGACAGTGAATGACCTTTCTCAACGAGAAGCTACTGAAGTTGAGTAGCAGTGCTTTCATCATCAGCTTGCATTTGGTCCTATACTATCTTTAAAACTTCTCTGGTTACTTTTGAAGGTCTTCTAGATCCTATATTGTGAAAATAATGAGAAGTGTAGTGGAATTAATACTGACAAACCTGGCCTTTGAGTAATTGAACCAGTTTCCATGTATTTCTTAATCAGTTTGCTCACACCTGAGACTTTGACATCCAGTGCTACAGTAAAATTAGTGGTGAATACTTACTCAAAAACTTACAAAAGGAATGTGAAATCCTCTGTTGTTTGTAAGTGCAGTACACCATTGTCACTAGTCCACCAGATAAATGTGCGCATTTTTGCAATTTGAAAGGGGTAGTAAGTACGGGGTTAATATAAGCTTTACATGTACATAAAATATCATTATTTTTTACAATTCAGAACAAAAATAAAAGTCAGAAAAAGAAATGACTACAAACATGCATTGTAACTCCTAGACTTCGTAATAACAGTTCACCATTGCACTGTGACAGTCATAGTCTGTCGCTACGGCCCAGTAGAATCACCGTTCCTACATAAGAAGAACCTTACACATAGTAATAAAACCATTATTTACTGATATCCGGCTACTTTTTAGACCCATATTCTTTGAAACCAGTAGAGTACAAGCGCTAGTAAGTGCCGTTTAGTATAAGTAGTAGACGGTAGAGTAGCCTTGGAAGAGTAGTATATAGTAGCTGTGCAGGGTAGCTGTGCAGTGGGCAAGGACTACCCTGCCCACCAGCTACTCTGCGCATGTGCAATACAAGCACAGCACAAGGG